AGAACGAAAATACCCTCCGGCGGCGATGGTAAGCAATTAAATTTTGAACGCGCTAAGGGCGTCCCGACGTCCTTTTAAACGTATATTATTATATATAATATTGTTATGCATGTACAGCGACGGTGACCGCAAAGTAGGGGTGTTTTGTGGCTTGGGGTCGCGTTTAACGGGGAAAAACTGGCTCTGGCGACGAGCGGTATAGGTCGGTATACCTATATGTATTATATGTATTACGTGTATATATGTTTTGAAACTACGACAAACAAAATTATAGCGGTCACTCGGAACAAGAGCGAACTTTTGAATTCGGTTGGCAAACCGTCGGGATTTCGTTGTTCAGGTCGACCGGAATAAATAATTGTGATAAACAGAATAATATAATAATATATGTGTGAAGCGAGGGCGATGTAATAATAATTATTATACGCGTCATGTCGGGGTGTAGGCTATACCAGCTGCCCTACGTCGAAAAATACATCGTCTGATGAAATAATAATATTTCGTTTTACATTTTCAATGTATTATACCATGGTAATAATCTTGTTTACATAAGTTATTACAATAATAATATAGTGTTCGATTTCAGATTTACATAATATAATAATGTTACCACCGTTGATGCAGCAGTGTGTGTGTGTGTGTGTGTGTGTGTGTGTGTTACATTTACATTTCGCAATCGCAATTCATTCATTGATTATATTACCTATATAGGTAGGTGACTATAGTATTATTATTGGAATATAATAATAAATAAGCGATAATGCGGTTTATCTAAATCCAGCCATGTCAATTTCAGAATATTGTCCGGACCGAAAAACTGAATAGAAGAAAATATATAAATTTTAATTCTGTTTCGTTTAAAAAAACGAGAGTTAATATAAAAATAATTCAACACCTATAATATCTAAGTAAATTATTTATTTAGTTAAAAAATAAACACAGTTAGGTCAATCTGTACATGGCAAAATTTAACATAAAATCCTTATTTTGCGTTTGAAATATTGTCACGAGGAGGGAAAACTTATTTATCGACAAAACGAAATGTGATTTTTAAGTAGGTAGGTATACATTCATGCATATAATTTTAATGGATAACAATAAAGCGTACGTCATAATGAATAAAGACAAAATGAACATATTTTGATGATACACGCCATATTTTGTATTAACTAAAAGGAGATCGGTAAACCGATTTAGGTGTAAGGTTTAGAGTTTTAGGGAAGGCCACTATAGTTTGACGTGTGAAATATTTTCAGAAAACAATCGACATAAAAATATTAAGTAACAAAATAATATATAATATTGTTTTAAAAAACTTATCGTTATTATCACTAATTGTCAATTTGACACTCGACGAAAACACTATTAGTGTACACGACAGCTGCAGCTGCTGTTCCCAAACGAATTCCGCCAGAGAGATTAGACGTTATTATTGTGCTCGTACACTGCTGCAGTATATCGCTTGAACGATAAAGTAAAAAAAAAATATATATATTTAAGGTCAAAATGGCAGGCACTTTTTCCAATTTAATTTCACTATCTCTAAAGCGAACTACACCGGGGAGGTTACTATATGCCCGTCACGTCCGTTCATCAACTTTCCCGCGTAATTGGGTTCAAATCAATGTTATCCACCCTATGCTTCGCCCCCGATATACTTGGAAACCGTCGGTGAATTTTAACACGTCAATATGATTAAGCAAGTCATGAGTAAACCTGTGGCTTTCGATTATGTTACACACTGTTACCAGTCGTCAATCAAATTTAACGATCGTATAACTTTTATGTGTAGGTAGGTAGGTACACTTTTGTTCTAAAATCCGTTCGCATAAAATGGCACGAACATTCCACTACATTGTACCTTAGCTATAGCTACACATCGATTTTTATGTTTAGCTGAACGCACAAAATTTTAAGTTAAATATTAACAATTTATTCCCGCGGGTACGATGCATTATCTCATTGAAACTATTAACAATTTTGTTTATTTCAATGATAATATCGGTGTTAAAATTAATATCATTATCGCACTTTTTGATTTTGCGGATAGAAATATAATATACAATGAGATCATATAGAACCACGAAAAATAAATAGATTATAATCAATCAAATGTGAAAGCTGTTAAAACCCCAATATTCTAACATGTAGCATGTAGTAGAAAGTTATTGATATGACTACAACAGCAATGTGTCTTAGATTTAAGTAACATCATTTTTTTTTTTCGTTATTTTAACTAATTGGATTAAAGTGTTGGTTACTTTACTAATTATACATAATAGTTTACTCGTTTTAAAATGCACTGTAAGTATATAAGTTGAATTACTTTACACTCAAGCCCATAGGCCATTCATAAAGTATAAAACTACTTCTGAGATAATTTTTCCTTAAATTAAGCTTAGCAAGTTCTTAAAGTTCATCTTGAAGTTTATCTGACGCTGCACGTTAAATTCACCGGTATATAATATGCACGTTGTTAAAAAACTTTTGGAATATTTCAACATATTTTTTTTAGTTGGTAGTTAATATAATATTTTGTTTTTCGTAGATTTTTCGCACCCGAAATCTATTAATTATATTTGTTACCCTACGTCAGTTTATAAAAAAAAAAATTATACTATTAGTATATAATATATTTTTACATACTACTATTATTATTTTTGATATTTTAGTAAAATAAAAGTGTTTTTTTTTTTTTACAACTCAATTAGTCATAATTGCCGAGGTTACATTGTTCTAAATTAACAGAAGTTTAATTTACAACATTTCATTCTTGTATACTCTAGTGTATTCTCACTATAACGTTGACGACTTTATTATTAAAAAGTAAAAGCACCCAATGTTAATATTGTTTCCAAATAATTGTGACATTACATGTATATTATGGTTAATTTGGATGACCTGTAAAAATGTCGTCAGCTCGATATTAGAAATTATTACAAATTTTATTTACACGGGTTCTTCAAATTTGTTGTAGAGAATAAAATATAAACTGTACCTACAAATCACACTTGCACCTACTCCGTGTAAATACCAACTGACTTTTATTTCTTAAACCTAGTAATACCTACCTTAGGAAATACGAGTTTTCATTTTAAAACATTTAAAAACATAAAACTATTCGTTTACATTTCCCTATCATTATTATATGTATTTGTAATTAAATCAAAAAAATAAAAGCTGGAATATAGACTTGTAATTTTTTTTTTTACCTAGTTTATACGATAGAATTGTTGTATCCAATATTTCAATACATAATACATCGTATAATTTAAAATTAAATTTATTAAATTTTTTATATTAAAAATATAACAATAATATTTATCGCGACAGAGAAAAATACACAATATAATAGAAATGACATGTCAGATAAAACAGTCGTTGGTGCGGCTCATCCAATAAGCAAATGTCATTGTCGTTTTAACTTCAGAGACAATAATAATATCGTAAGCCCTTATTATACCCCCCCCCCAGCCCGTACCCAAGTAGTACCTAGTTGCATAAGGATTTCGGGGAATCAAAACCAAATATATATAGGTACATAGATTCGCAGTAAAACGGAAACAGTCGAAGATATTTAGATAGCTGTGCCACGTACTGCAGAGGTGTATCCTATATTTGGCGCGAACCAATTTGTGAGGGATTTATATATTATTGTGCACGTGGATTTACGATATCGATGAACCACCGTTACCGGTTTTACAATATAGTATTACATAATATGTATCTATATACGTTTAATGCTGCACGATTATCACGATAAATAGCAGTCTAAATCGAGTGTGTTTATCAATAGTGATTTTCAGGGGGAGGGAGGATTAGAATAATATGCGTCGTGAATAGACGTATTCTTGGTGTCAAAACGGTTTATCACAATATAGTGATAAAACAATCAATGGCTGACGTTATTATAATTTATAAGGTGTAATAAGTTTCTAATATTATTTTTTTTTTGAATTATAATTAAGTAATATTATTGTAATCTGTATGCATAAAAGACGATGTCCTGACATGGTACTTTCGTAGGTACGATCGTGTAGTAATGTACTATAAGAAAGGATTTTTCCAAAATTTGCATTTTAACGATAGGCTCATACAGAGATTAATTGTTGGCCTACAAAAAACAAATATTTTATATATGCATGGGTTGCCATTGGCTACAGAAAACTAGCAGTTGTTAAAATTGAATATAAATAAAGACTTGTATTTTGAATTTGGTTGAAACTTCCCTAATCATTGTGTTAAAAATATGTGTAGCTTACATCTAATGGTGATAAATACAGGATAAATCCATGGTGCACTTGTATTATTTAATTTTTCACGGGAAAACGTAGAGCAAAAGATATAACAAAAATAATAAGAATAATATAAAGATAAATTGTCATGGTACCTTCGAAACACACTGTAGGGGTGTATTAAAAATTGATTTTTCAAAATTCGCATTTTAAAGAAGTGATCACTATGAGATTTTAAGATTCACGATGAAAATCAAATTTTTTTTTATAAACTGTTGCCATTGGTTATACATTATTATAGTAATTGAAAAATTAATACAAATGAGTAAGTACCTGTATTTTGAATAAATGGTATTGCCGTTGGATACTTGGGTATTTAAGGTTAAAACAAATTATATCTTAAAACAGTTATTATGAGAGTTTATTTAAAGATTCTTTTATAATATGTTTGTTGCCTGTGGAGTTTATGGACTCAAATACTACTCGTCTGATTTCGACGAGAATTTCAGAGAATATTTTTAGAGATATTAAGTAAGTTTAGACAGTGGTTTGAACCAATTTTTAAAATATACCAAGAGCTATAATATCTGAACTGAGGTACACTAAAATAGGTATACACCGAAATAATGCCGTATTTGATATGTTTCGTTCATTAATTATATTAGGTACCTATATGTACATATTTTATTTTTATAGTGAAGGTCGAAACTTGAAAATATGTGTTTTTGTAGTTTTTTTCACATTAAAAAAATAATACAAATCTGGTCAAATCTTGCAGGTATTAAAGTCACTATATACTCGCCTCAGTGGGTCTTTGATGTGGATGTATCTGTCGAGTGATATAGCGCATAGGTTGAGTATGGACGCGGTGGAGCACATCACGTCTATGGCAGTCCATATGTCACAGAACTTGGCGCCGAACATCCAGTAGCCCTGCAGGTCGTTTACCAGCGCGAACGTCATGACCAACGCTCCGACAAATAGGTCGGCGATCGCCAGCGAGGCCAGGAACAGGTTGCCGATCCTTCGCAAGCCCCTGTCGGTGTAGATGGCCATGCACACCAGCACGTTGCCAGCGATCGACAAGAATATAACGACGATTAGAAACGATCCTGGAAAACAAGAAAATGCGCATAAAGCACGGTTGTTACACCGAATATTTAAAATTTTTACTACTGAAATTGGTCCCTAGGTATATAAAAACAATATTTTGACGTTTGTTGTAACTTTTTCTTATTTCCTATATTATGGTTTGTCGGGACCGAACAGTGAAAATTCGAGTTTTGGAAATTTCGTCCTTAAAGTGTAGTCGGTAAATCCTAGGATTTTTGTCAACGCATAACGTGCAAATACAATAAATAGGGATATTAGATTGTGAGCATAGGGATAAATGTATATTAGTTTTGCAACGACATGTTTTTCTTTTTAAATTTATTATTTTGTTTTGTTTTGGAAGTCTTATTGTTTGTTGCGATCGTCATCTTCCAGGGAGGTTTCTGGTAGAAAATTGGATCTATTTTGTACTATGGGGTGAATTAGAAATTTCCCAGAATTTTTGAAAATAATCTTTAGCAAAAGATTTTTTGGAAAAAAACAAATTTCGAAAAAACGAAGATTTTTTTTATCCAAAACCAAGTCTAAACAAAATCAGTTTTAAGTTCAACCAAAACTATACGTCTATAATATCATAACCGACGGTTTAATTTTTTACAAACTCTGTTTATATGGATAGGTACTTATTTTAATATATTTATTTAGCTGTACTGCCGGCGATGTTATAAATATTTTTTTATTATTTATTGTTGTTTTCGACCTAAATATATCAAAGAGATAATGACCAAATGCACATATTCTGTATCACGTGTTGAAATAATTTTTATTCTTGGAGTGTATTAAAAAAATATTAAACTATATGAAATATGAAAATATCGTAAAAGTAGCACGTTTACTGTACTTAAGTTAGTATTGTTATGGTTGTAAGTGATTTAATAGTTTGTTGTTTTTAAGCACTGAGCGTTGTCAAAGATACAATGATTTCGGTAAAAATATTTTTATTTATTTGTGTCACTATAGACTTTACACAATAGACAAACACATTTAATAAATTAATAAAACGGATTATGTATAACGATAGATGATGATTGATGAGAATATATTTTAAGTATCTTTTTTGAAATATGTTTATTATCTACGTGTACACTCAAAGGACCTTAAAACAACATAAGGATTGTAAAAAAAATGTTTACATAAATATGCTTTTGGGCTGGGTATGAATATTTTTATTTTCTAACCGATCTTGCGTAACGCTTCGTTTATTACCATAGAAACGAATAAATTGTAAAAATTTCCCAATCCCACTGGGTATATAGGAACATACAATAATTAATGGTTAAATACACATTATTATTTATGATTTATATATTTTCTTCGAAGTGGAAAATATCGAGTAGCGTGTTCTTTTACTGTAACTGTCTACCAAACTACTCCCACTACTACTACCGTATGAACTACGAATTAAACTAAACTAAAATATTTTGTGATTTTTGTTTACAGTAAGATATGAAAACATTTTTCAGCGATAATTATCATAGCAAACATTGTCCGCTCACGCGAGAATTTTTCCGAGTGGACTGGTATATATGATGACCTACTGCAAATACTACAATGATTTGACCTACTGCAATGATTTGTCATTTTTTAATAACGTATTGTACGTCGTACGAACAACAATGTATATTTATTGAAAACTCATCTGCAGGGAAAAGCGGCGTGACATATTTCATAATTTATTTCGTATCCACCGTCATTACGATTATATGTCGTATATAGATTGGAGTTGCCTTATATAACCGCGACGTGATTTGTGCTGCTTTAGACTTACCAATGCAGAACAACGGCAGCGCTGTCAGAGCGACCTCTCCGTCGTCCTCGTACTCGTCATTTTCCGGCGTCCCGTTGTTTGTCGAATTTGATATTGAATTGGTATCCTAAAAGCAAAGGAAACATAATATAAAACATCAGTGACAATAAGCGTTTCGACGCACAATACACTATATTGTGCCGCCGTAGGTGCACCCGTAATGCCGATGAGTAGATAAATATTTTATCGAAATTTGAGGCAAGGACAGTTTCAATTTTCGTAAGCCATAGTTTTATGGCATATTTCGCAATATGACGTATTGGTAACAGGCGAAATTTCGTAAAATTGGATATACCTCTTCCTACCACCGTTTAAATTTGTTCGACACAATTATTTACGAACGGTATAATAATGTATAGTTTTCAGTGTGTGTGTGTGTGTGTGTGTGTGTGTGAGGGGGGGGGAGGTATTACAATTTAGAACAACGATTTTTTAGAGTTTCATAATAATTATGTCTAAACCATATTCATTATGATATTTTATGGATATTGCTCGCAAATCTTATATTCTACAAAAACGGGAACAATTTCAGATTTTTAAAATCCCTCATAGTCTAAAAGTTACATCATGTCCATAAAATACTAAAATATATGATTTATATGCACATTAAATGTCAAGTTAATAAGAGGTTATTTAATTTTGATTTTGTACCCACTGCAGCTACTAAAAATGAAATAAATAAGAAAATTCAGTAATTCCCAAAAGTACATATTGATGAAATGCAGCGATAAATTTCACGTTACATTTTTATTTTTAGGCGTAGAAAAAAAAAAAAAATTTTTATGTGACTTCTCTTCTTTCATCAATAAGTGAGTAAGTTGATTTACCTATCTTAAATGTTGTACCAAATAAACACCAATAGGTGAAAAAAAGTTTTTTAAGCCTATAAATATTTAGGTACTTTTATACTGAGTTTTACACACACAAATGCCATCAATGTTAGGTATATCAAACGTCTTTTGCATTTTTAACGTGATCCATTAATAGACGAAACGTTAATTGAGTATTAATAATAAAACAAATATTGATATGTGAGATATGATGGGGTGGAGGGGTAGAAGATAAAAAATAAAAACACTAAGCATCCTCAACATAATTATACTCCTTAATGAGTTTCTTAAACATTTTGATTTTTGGAATTTATAACTACCTATACCTGTATAAACAACGTATTTTTAAATACTTGGATTTTTTTACTTTTTTATTTATGAAGTATACTTCTGCAGCCACTTAATCAAGTAACGCGGTAATGGCGGCACCGTTTCAGTATTGAGTTAGGAATCTTTCCTAACTTTGAGTTAGTCAGTTAATATTCCCATATTAAATTATAAACGTAAGGGCCATGCTTTTGCCCGACCTACAAGCCAAGCTTCATCGCCCGTTCGGATCCCTTAATTGAGCCTGGCCATATAGGTATGGACGCCTTACTCGAACCTCAATCAATGCATGTTTAAAATTTAAATACATAATTCCTGATTAATACTACATGCATTATCACAATAGAGCAATATAGATCAAACTTAATAGTATATATCCTCTGGAATTATTATTCAAAAACGACAGACGGTCCGCCAAACTCCCGGCACTTCATCTCGCAGTGTTAAGAGTCTAGAGGAGGCTGTGGGAATTATACTATCCACAGTTAGCGTGGAGAAAATCAAAACCATACTCAACGCAACGGGCAACAATTATCTAGAAGAATAAAGTCATGAAATGGATAACAAGTTTCAACACCTTATCATGGTTTTGAATACAAAAAAACTCTGATCACTTGAAATTGGAGTGCTAAAGCGGAGCGAGTGTCCTATACACTATCGACATTTAGTAAGTCAAAAATACTTTCAAAGTCAATCAAGCCTAGACCATACGTCATAACGATAATAAGACCCACACTTATCTACGGATGGGAATCACGATTCACGAACGACTACCAGTATGACAGAACGAATACTTACTACCTTTAAAAATACAATATTTAGCAGATAATATGTGAACCCAAATAAGATTGCAACACTGGTGTATGGAGGAGAAAGTTCATTAAGAAATCACAAGAGGAAATAGAGGTGCACCTTGTCAAAAATGTTATAATAGGTCAAAGTATCGGATAATATAATGGGCGAAAATTATTAATAAATGATCATAATACAACTAAACCATCAATGGCCTGGAAACAAACAGGGAAGAGATACCGAGGTGGGCCAGAAAAGGTAGTAAGACGTGGTTTAGGAGGACTGGAAAAGCTTATTAGTGAACAATTAGAGAAATACAATTCAAGATTGGGAGAACTGTAGGAAGATTTTGATGGGTGGCCAAATCTCTGATCGAATAGTAGAAGCCAGCAGAAGAAGAAGATGTAATTAATATACATTTATTTATTTTTAACATTGTCCCGAGTTAATATTGTACTAGGCCAAATAATATTGATTAATTTATACAAACCCATCATTAAGAACTATAGTGTCTTTGGCAGTTTAATAACTCCATTGAATTTCGATTTAAATACACCACTGTTTAACCCTATGCATTGTAATGTTGTATATTATGCGCAGTATTTGTCTACCCACTGTGCCTGTGTATGGTATTATTGTTAGGCGTCGCCGTTAGATGCTTACATTATAATATGATGTTCTAAATCACACACGTTCAGTCGAGTTGGAATTCGGTCGGGCAAAAAGGTTTTTTTTTCGTTTATCGCAGTTGGACGAGGCCGACGGGACTAAACTTGTTAAATAATATGATATAACGAGGGTGGTATACGCGTGACATGTTGCCTCGCGTGTGACGAAGGTGTTACGGTGGTTTCGAGCTTTAAAAAAAATATTATATGTACTCGTATATACGATATATTATTATGCCATATTATATGTAGCAAAAATGAAAAGTTTTTTTTAGGTCTACTATACGAAACACGAGTTTTTTTTCCCCCGTCGTCCGTTACGGATTTTAGCACCAAGGATAAAAACACAATATAACATATATGCATCACTCGCATTTTGTGAGAGCTATTTTTATTGCTATTTTTATTATTATTTTTTTTTCTCACATGTCTAGGTAGATAACACCAAGACGAGCCCGCGGATGCGGAATGATGACGAACCATTCTCGTCTCCGTTTGGTGATGGGCAAAATGTATACT